TCACCCACCTTGTAACTTGCACATATGATAGAGCAGACTCCCCGTAGGCTTGCTTAAGCAGTTTGTGAGTTTTGGCAGCTTTTTTTGTTGAGCTTTGTGCAGAACTTGACTGCCCAACGTTGTTCGAAAGTGCCCGCAATCGCGCGCTGTGACGCGGTAACAAAACACAGGTGCACTAAATCAACGATACTGACGCCTCCGATGCTCAAGCAGACTGACATTGGGCGCGCTGTGAAGCTAAAGGCCTCCCCCCCCAACCCAACTGGTTCCAGCACGCTCCGACCAGTAGGTGCGCGGGAAAGAAATATATTTCATGACTTTTGGGGCACAACTTGTAAGAAAGCAGAAGGCTAATTGGATTGGTCATATTTTACGCGGTAACTGCCTTCTAAAAGAAGTTATTGAAGGAAAGATAGAGGGGCAGATAGAAGTGACCAGAAGACAAGGAAGAAGACGTAAGAAGATGCTGGATGACCTTGGGGACAGAAGAGGATATTTTCATTTGAAGGAGAAAGCTCTAGATCGCATCAAGTGGAGGAACTGTTTTGGAGGAGACTGTGGACCTATTGTCTTGACAGATTACAGATGAATGAATGAATAAATTAGTTTGTCCTTGCATTTTTGCAATTACTTCAGAATCAATAACATGCAAACAGAAATCCACTGGTTCACAAGTTTCATCCCAATTAGTTCCAGGAGGACCTGAACATACGTGGTGTGTTCAAAAAGTATCAAACCTTCTTTTTTCCCGCATAAACCAAAGAAGCGCAGGAGGCTCCCTTCGGTGCAGATGTGGAGGGGACATTCATGCACAGTCATGAATTTTTTCCCGCCCGCAAAAAGCATCAGTCGCTGGCAGTCGGCCTATGAGTGAGGACGTGTAGTGAGCGCTCGTCGGATTCCAGTAAGGAGTAAAATGACGGAACAACATGAGCAGCGATATTGCATCAAATTTTTCCAAAAGCTTGGCAATACCCAAGTGGAAACCATTCGCAAGATTCAACAGGCTTTTGGGGACGATGCCATGAGCAACTCATGGATAAACGAGTGGTAGAACGGCTTCAAAGATGGCTGCACATCAGTGGACAGCAAACCACATTCAGGCAGACCCTCAACAAGGCAAAATGAGAATGTCATTGAGCAAGTGCGGACTTTGGTCATGGAGGACCGTTGTATCACAGTCCGAGAACTTGTGAACAAGATACGGGTAAGCATTGGATCGGTACATTCAATTTTGACTGAGAATTTGGGCATAAGGAGAGTGTCCGCGAAATTCGTACCGAAACTGCTAACAATGGAGCAGAAGCAACACCGTCTGGAAATCGCACAGGACATGCTGGACAATGCAAACAGTAACCCCAATTTTCTGAACACCGTGATCACAGGTGATGAATCAAGGGTTTATGGGTACGAACCGGAAACCAAGATGCAGTCGTCACAGTGGAAAAATCAGACATCCCCGAGGCCAAAAAAACACGGCAGGTCCGCAGCAATGTCAAGGTCATGTTGGCCGTTTTCTTCGATTCCCGTGGGGGTTGTGCATCATGAGTATGCACCACAAGGCCAAACCATCACAAGGGAACCATCACTACCAGGAGGTCCTTCGTTGCCTTCGTGATGCTGTGCGGCACAAACGACCAGATCTGTGGGCAGCAAAAACTTGGCAGCTCCATCATTATCATGGACCCGCCCATTCTGCACAACTGATTCAGACTTTCGTCGCCATACACAACATCCCTGTGGTTCGTCAGGCTCCCTACTATCCCGACATGGCTTTGTGTGACTTTTGGCTATTTCCCAAGCTGAAAATGCCGCTGAAACGAACCCGATTTGAGTCATGAGAAGACATCATGTGGAATGCAATGGGGCGGCTGATCACCATTCCAAAAGACGCATTCCAGAAGTGTTTCCAACAATGGCAGAAGTGCTGGGAGAAGTGTGTGCATTACCAAGGAGACTACTTTGAAGGGGATTAGGGTTTTGTACCTCCAAATCAATAAATGTATTTCTGCCGACCAAAGGTTCGATACTTTTTGAACACACCACGTACACCAATATCAGGGACGAAATCCACATCTGTCCAGTCTGTAGCAGGGTCAGCCCCTGCTGTCCTGGCTCTCTTTTGTGGCTGTAGGGTGTAAGCAGATGTGCCCCCTTTCAATGATTTCACTGCATAATCCTGAATCTCAAATAGCAGAAATACAGTAATTTTGAACCACTGCTCATGCACATTTGCAAAGAGTCTGAAAAATAATAAGATACATAAACAGACACTGCTCCCCTGTACTTTTCTCATTTCATTTGAATCTGTATTTACATCACTCTCACTATCACTACTTTCATTTAAATGTCTCTGATAATTCTCGAGCAGTTCTGCAATTTTTCCACAATGACAAAAAGAAGAAACACGTTACAACATCCAGTAACCACACTGTAAACAACTAACACAGCAACACAACAGCTCAAAAAACAGCATTCGCCTGACCATCAATATACTGCTGCTACACTGTCAAATACAGCCATCTGGTGGTTAATAGATAAACTGGACAATACACAAGAAACATAACTGATCAGTGGGGGGCAGTAATGTTATGTCCAAACTGCATTAAAATCATTAAACTTTGTGTGTGTAATATTACTGCAAAAGCACGTTTACCATGGGACCCCATGCAACAATATTATGGTAGCCATATTGTAACTGTTGATCTCATTACAAAGAATGCCTTTGTAAGACCTGGTTCCTTTCAACTGTTTTATAATATATATACACACTTAAGTGCACAAACTTACACCAGCTTAGGATAACACCTGTATCATCATAATCTGGTTCATCATCTGGTTTTCTTGGAGGACTCCTGGGGAGGAAAAAGTGAAACAATATTTAGGTCACCAACAGAAAATGGATGTTAACACAAATGTCACGGAAAAAAAAAATATTTATATACTTGTGTACTTTACATGACTTATTCAATACCTTCTGCGAGGAGGACTAGGAGATCGTCGACGTTTCTCACCACGACGTTCCTCTCTATCCCTGCGATCACGATTTTCATCTTTTGTATCAACAACGATTTTCTCCTCAGGCTCATCTTTCACTTCAATTACTTCAGGCTCCTTTTCTGTTTTAATTTCTGTTGAAACCACCTTAACATCCATCTGGAAAAAAATGAAATATTTTATATATAAAGGCCAGTTGTTTGTGACATTTGTGCAAGAAGAGGAGGCACTGCTCTTAGTGTCTGACAGACAGGGTTACTATGGTTGATTGCTGTTCCTCTGTAAACACATATTTTAAGCAACACTTAGCCACAGAGAAAGGCTATATTTATTACACATGGTGTCCAACAAGAATTTTGTGTATTTTTTTTAATTTTTTAATTTGCTTAGTGGGGGATGGAGTCCAACTGGGTCCATTCGGCACGGCGGCCACTGATTGGCCTATTGTAGCCTGTCCCGGGTGATTATGATGATGGAGAATTTAGTGGAAAGAAGATTGGCAGGGGAAACCAAAGTACTCAGAGACAACCTGCCCCAGCACCACTTTGTCCACCACAAATCCCACTTGACCTGACCCGGGATCGAACCCGGGCCACCATGGTGGGAAGCCAGCGACTAACCCTGCTTGAGCTATGGCGCGGCCTAAGAATTTGTGTAACACTAATGTGTGTGTGTGTGTGTGTGTGTGTGTGTGTGCATGCGCTCATGTACGTGCAAGATTTTGATACAAAAGCCAGAAGGAAAGACACTGCTAGGAAGACCTAGGCATAGGCAGGAGGATATATTAAAACGGATGTTAAGAAAAGATAAGATGGGGCGGTATGGACTGAACTGATGAGGCTCAGGATAGGGACCAGTGGACAGCTCATATAAACAAGGAAATGAAACTCCAGGTTCCATAAAACGTTCAGAAATTTCCGACTATGTGAGCAACTGGCAGCTTCTCAGTAAGAACTCAGCTCCAAGAAGTTAGTTATAAAAAACTTCCGGAATGGACACAAGTTTCTTGGAGAGTAAATTCTGGTGATAGATATCAGTCTTGCAAACACTGTAATAATTACAGCTTTCAATGTATGACATAACTGTTACAGTTCAACAGGCACAAGAAAATGCCAAGGAAAGCTAACAAATCTCTGGACCACAGTGTTTTTCACTACAACTGGCAGCTGATATGTGCACAAATCATAAGTACCATGGCATGGAAAAAACAAATGCCAGGTCATGAAGCAGGGAAACAACACAGTTGTGCCAAATGCAGTGATGTGTAATGGTAAAAAGGTAAAAGGTGTCCCTGTAACAGGCAGTGAAGGCCCATAGGGGTGTGAGGGGTCGAGGCTCCCACATTTTCTAGACAATCAGCTAACAGATGGTGGCACTGTTGTCAGCCTTACATGCCAGCCGCCCTTTTACCCCCCAGGAAATTCCTGGTACTCATTTCCATTAGAGGCTCAGTGGTCCCCTGGGCCACAGTGCAACTGGAAGGATTAAGTCAACTGAAAAATCGAATGACCTCACCGGGGTCCAATCCCATGACCTTCCAGCTTATAGCATACTGCCTCAACGAACTGAAGGCTTTTAATGAAAGAAAATTGTTTTGTTAAATATATTTGCATACAAAGAAACAATAATGAATAACATCTGATAATTAGATACCCTCTGCATTATGCTCTGTAGGCTACAGCCACAAATGGCAGCACAAAGTGGTATCAAAAGTTATTTACAGTAATTAATGCTTAAAATGTTAAATAAATATTATATACATATAAAAGATTAATATACGCTTGTAAGTCGTACACTATATTACAAGGTTAAAATAAATTATTTGAATCACTCAGAGACCTGAGCTCTTCTTGAGAAGCCACCATTTGTGCAGCTACTCAAGAACTTCCTTGAATTTCATGGAACCTGAAGCTTCATTACCATGTTCACAAACTTTCCTAATCTGTACTCCAACTTTACAATTCACTAAGGACATCCTCCATTCTCGTCCTTGTACTCTCAACTGCTGAACTCTCCTGGACACTTTTCTGTGATGGTTTCATGTCCTTGTCTCATGGCTTCTCAGCTTTGAATGACTGCAAATGACCTTCACTGTCCCTTATAAACCTTTGGCATGGACCACGCAGAAAACAGCCTCTATTGTTGAAACATGTTTACTGAACCACTGCATAGCAATGGTTGCGGCGCGGACCCCATAGAAAACCAGTCCATTGGAGTGCCGACTGTTGCCTAGCAACGAGCTATAAACATCCGTCCTATTGTTGCATGTGCATATCGCTGTGTGTCTATCAATTGTTCTCTCTCTGCAGTGGCTGCTCTCTTACAACTATAACTGCTCCCTCCCTAAGGCCAGGTTGTCCCTAGCAGTTCCCTAATAAGATTCCAGTTAGTCCAGGCGCTCCCACATACCCGGCTCTTCTTATGTTAATGCTGTTATAAGTTTATCTTCCTTCTTGGATGGGGCCAACCCCTCCACAAGGTCAAATTCCTTATCTTCTGTAACCCGCTGGACATCCCGGTTGCTCACTTCATGAACTACAGTCTGAAAGCCTTGCTGTCTAACTCCACTGACATCATCTCGACCTTAAGACACAGCTGCCATCTTGTGCCTTGATTCTTTATTCGCTTGCTGCCTCACAGCTGCTGTCTCAGGCCTTGGTCCCCTATTCCATTGTTGCATTCTGGGCCCTTCCAACGTCTCTTCCTAAACTTCCATCCCTTCCGGGTTTCTTGTACCACACTGTCCCGATCTTACCTCTTAGAATCACGTTGCCTGTTCTATGTCACTTCTGTATTTTGGGTCATGCTCCTGCCGGCTGTCGGCTGTGGCCAATTCCTTTCATGGTACCACTGCTGCACAATGGGACACCTTCCCGCAGGCAGCAGTCAACTACCTTAAGGATCCACAATCTCATCGAGTGAGTTCCTTCGGCTCTCCGTGTCACCCTGCAGCTGGGTGCCAGCCCATGCTCTATCTTCCATCTTTTGACCAGTTTCACTATGGCATCTTCCTTAGGGACCTCCTGATGTTCCAACTCAGACTCCATTTCCTCTGGATATGCCTTAAAATCTGTGGCTTCCCTCTTTTCTCAAATAGCTTGTCATGGCTACCATCTGTTCCAAGATGGCTACGATGTGATCAATTGGCTCCATCGTCTCTGGATCTGGTCTCCATCCCATTCTTGGCAGGCAGTCCTCTTGTTTTGGCATGCCCTCAGGGAGTGAACTGCGACTTCTTCGTTAGGATTCTCCTGCCGCTCCGCTACAGCCTCCTATCTCCTGGATCTGGCCTCATCTTCTCTGGATTGGCTTCTGTTATTTCTTGGCAGGCCATTCTCCCTTTTTGACCATTCTTCACGTCTGCTATCCCAGCATCCATCATCTCTTGATGTTCCGTTTTGGGTTCCAATCTCATCCAGCTGGCATCTGCCTCGTCATGAACGGCTTCCAGCTTTGCTGCCACTTCTTCTTGGTCAGGTTGCTGTTCAGCCTTCCATTGTTCTCTGTCAGCTTTCCACCTGGCCATCCTCTTGAAGTCAGCTTTTCTTTTTTTTCAGTCGGCTTCCCACTCAGCATTCATCATCTCTTGGTAGGCTTTTCTTTCAGCCTCCCATCTCTCCATCTTTCATTAAAAGCTTTTTATGTTTGCCCTACTTTTTTCTCAGTCGGTGTCTAACTTGTCTTGCCTGGCTTTTATGTACTCTACCATTTGAGCCTGGAGGCAAGTCAACAGTGGTTCCACCTATGCATAGGTTGCGTGCACAGCCAGCATTTCCCTTATTTGTTACATTTTCGTGGTATAAATACCCAATTCAATCTCTGATCAAATGCGATATAACTTCTTCCACCATTTCCAGTTGTCATGAGTTACGGCTGCGTGACTGCTGACAGCCACTGCCGGCTATCTTGCCAGTCCATTGGTGCACTAACTGCTGCCTAGCAACGAGCTATAAACATTTGTCCTATTGTTGCACACACATATCGCCCAGTGTCTATCGAGCCGTTGCCTGGCAATGTGTTGACATGTCACATTATGTTTTGTAGATGCAGAGAAATTTATGTAGGTTTTCATAAAGTGTGCATTACATTCGTCCAATATTAATCGAAACTGAAATGTGCAAATATATTTTAGCAGAACTCCACAATACTGAAAATAATTTTCATGCATACAGATGAATGGATGGATGGATAGAACAAACTTTCACAGGTGCTCTACAGGGCTTCAAATGTACCAAAAATAGTAGTGTATCTGAGAAAACACAGTGCTGAAGAGCAACAAATTATTTTGTTTAAAATGTTACCCATAGTACATGAACATATTGAACGATACATTATGAAATGTCCTAACATTATCCAAATAGAAAACACAGACATTGCAGTAAAGTGAAAGGACTCTTACAAAGATTTAGCTATCACGATGTCTCAAAGAAAAAAATTCCATGCTTCCACATTTAAAAGAAAATACTGCGAGTTACTGGAGTGTTCTTCAAACTGTGGAATGCTTTTCACTTCACAGACTTCCACCAAACCCTAAACTACACCATAAGCCACTTGCATACAGAGAGATAAAATAGGGCAGATTTTGTGCAGGTACACAAACAAGATATGAAAACTTAATATGAAAGAAAAATGCAGAGAACATTAAGACAAATTAAAACTAACAAGACACATAAATAAAATTAAAACCCTTCACACACAATACTGTGCCCCAGTTTTCCTTATGCAAAATCCTCTTAATTATTACAGTAATTCTAGAATACTAAGTTAACAAAGGCAGATACTACATTCAGTATTGTGTTCTAGTAACCATTATGAAAACATGCTTTCATACAAACCAAGTGAAAACTCCTGAATCCGAAAGTCATTTTAGACAAAATCTAGCTACCCTGTACTAGGTCTTTTGGAACTGCCAATACTGGAAAAGGGATTTCACAGCCAGGAAGGGAAGAAACCTAATCTAAAAATTTCAAATGGCATTCACAAGGCTAGATCATGCAAATGAAAACTTTCATCCAGCTTGCTCTCATACACATGCACCCATGCTCACACTCTTTTTATTTGAACATTCACAATCTGAAAACTCCTACAGTTCTTTCTGTCCATACTCCTGAGCAACAACTATAAATTAAAAGGATTGCTGGGGGGGGGGAAATCAGCATACAGGCTTATACTTTGAACAGTAATTCTGCCATTATTAAAACTTAACCCAAAGGAATCTCTGATGACATTGCAGTCTCATAAAACAGTTCTAGTATATACACTACCAACACATGATGATGGTAATATTACCTGATCTTTATTCTCCTCTTTAGTAACAGATTCTTGCTTTATTTCTGGTTTTACATCCTTAGGTGAACTGTCAGATACAGGGGCCTGCGTGGGCTCTTCCACTTTTTGAGTCTTTTGTTTTTCAGCTTCCAGTTCAGGTTCTGTTTTAATGACAGGCACTGGCTTGGCTTCTTCTTCATAGCTTGTGTCCATCTGTGAATCTGCCTCTAATTCTGATTCATTCTGTGATATCTTTGGGGGTAATTCTTCTTCTTCTTCTTCTTCACCCTCATCGCCCCATAGCAATTCATCTTCTGCAGCCTCTACTTCCCTACCTCCTCCTTCCTCCTCCTCCTCTTCTCCTTGAACTGCAAGCAAATTACTTAATTACTACATAAGCAACACACAGTTTACTAGGTACTATCATTTAGACCCACTAATAGCAACACCTAACTTTCATTTTACAAATATTAGGTTTCTGGACATAATCTATTGTCCTGTCTTTATCTAAAAACACTATTTCAGAGACTGGATTCTGTCTCCATCTTCAGCTAAAACCTACTCAGTTGGGCCCAACTGACAGAGCTAGTCCCTATCTCTGGACACTTGTACCAGCATCAAGATGGGGTATACAAGCAAAGCACACATTAAATCAAACATGCAGAGTTGTTAATAATTTAATGCCTCCTTAGCTCTTGCAGATGGTATGTCCTGTGTTTTCCTTGTATACCCCATCTTGGTGCTGGTACAGGTGTCCAGAGATAGGAGCTAGCTGTGTCAATTGGCCCAACTGAGTAGGTTTCACCCAAAGCCAGAGATAGAATCAGGTCTGTGAAACGGTGTTTTTAGATAGAGATGGATTATGTCCAGAAACATAATACTTGTAATAATGTACCATCATCACAAACTTTTAGATCTAATTACACTTTACAGCTCAAAACACCACCACATTTATTGGATCAATGAAAAAACTGCTAGTAGTCAGAGATGTCTATTTGCTATTTCACTTAATTTTCAAGGAAAACATGCGAGAATTAAAATATATAGCCACAATACTATTGCAGTTAGTTATTCCACAAGGTTGTCCCCATACTTCTTGAAGTGATGAGCATTCTGCTCTGGAAAACTCTCTCACTTTAATGTTCAGACACGGTTACAAAACATGCTTCACTTGTCATCTTTGTCATATTTGCAATTATGTTCCAGAAGTCCTTTTATCGAGGTAGCAAACTGATGAGACTAAATGAGATCCAGAACACAGGGAAAAGTATTACAAACAATTCACATTTTCAAATCACTTCAGGGTGCACACATTCGTGTGGGGCCAGATATTATCGTAAAGGAACGTCCTGACAATTGTGTTGTGCAACAATTTAATGAATATATGTTCTGCGTTTTCTAAATTATCTACAGGCTGCATTTGTGCTCCCTAGAGGCAATAAATCCATAAGAATCATATGTTTATCAATCTCTTATGTTATTGTAACAGAGAACACTGAGACTTTCTTGTCACGTATCACTGAGGATGAAACCTCAATATAAAATTTTGAATTCTGGTCCAAAAAGCAATCAGTGGAATGGCATGATACAAGTTCAAAAGTACAAGAATACGAAAAATACCCACTCTTCAGAACAAGGAAAGTATGGCTCTTTGACACTTCTCATCACCAGAGACCACACTATAAACTTTCATCAAAATATACAAACATTAAGGAAACTGAAAACTTAAATAATTCAAGTGAAATGTCTGAAGTGAAGATCCTCCATAGTAATGTCTGGCATCCACATAGGTGCAGCGCACGCAGTAGCGTAATGGTTGAGGTGCTATGCTACGAGCCGGAAGGTCGCAAGGTCAAGTCCCAATGAGGTCATTGAATTTTTTTCAGTTGACCCAATCCTTCCAGCCGCACTAGGCACTGGGGTTTACTCAGCCTCTAACAGAAATGAGTACCAGGAATTAATTACATAATTTTCCATCTTTGAGCCGATTGTCTAGATAATGTGGGACCCTTAACATCTCACAACCCTATGGGGCTTCACGGCCTGGTACAGGGATAGCTTTACTTTCTACTTTACTTTATCCACATAGGTGGGATGACCGCAAAATCTGGATGGACGATGTTACCTTGATCTGCTTAGAGTCTGCACAGATTGTTGCCTGTAAATTGGTAAACCATGTTCTACGCCACTATACTACTGCAGTGTAACCCCTAAACAAAGGCCGCACCATAGCTCAAGCGGTTAGTCGCTGGTTTCCCACCGCGGTGGCCCGGGTTCAATCCTGGGTCTGGTCAAGTGGGATTTGTGGTGGACAAAGTGGCACTGGGATGGGTTTTCTCTGAGTACTTCAGTTTCCCTTGCCAATCTTCATTCCACCAAATTCTCCATCATCATCATAACCCAGGGCAGGCTACAACAGACCAATCAGTGGCTGCTGTGCCAAGTAGACCCAGTTGGACTCCATTCCCCACTAAGCGAATTAAAAAAAACCCTTAACAAGAAACATTAACTGACTCCCTCTTACATGTTAACAGATAAGAAGATGCCTCACCCCCCAAGATCAGACAAAGTTTCCAGAACATTTTCAACTGCACATGATCCTTCCTGAGGTGCTAGGCAACAAGCTAGTGTGTTCCCAACAAAATTACATTTTGCTAGTTTAGATTCTTACATTTCTACAAGTGTTTACTTACCAACATAATGGGACAAGTAGACACACTTTGAGCCACAGTATCTATGAACTACTTTACACTATGACAGCCATACACCTGAGTCTCCTTGGCATGCATACACGGTGTGTCCAGGATCCGTTAGGACTCTTAATTTTTTCCTTGCAATGCCATCTGTTGACAAGTTGTGGCGTTAAATTTCTTGAAGTTTCAGCTGTGGCCGTCTATAATTTCAAAGCGCAAGCATCGCTGCATCATGTGTCCTGACCTTGATTGTAACAGTACTGTTCTGACATTTGTCGGAAAATGGTGGTTGTACAGAGAGCCAACATCAAATTTTGATTGAAGTTAGGCAAAACAGCCATAGAAGCGTATGAAATGATGAAAGTGTGTATGGTAGTGATTGTTTGACTTACTCGAACATTTTTCGATGGTATGCTGTATTTCGTGATGGCAGGGAGGACACTGAAGATGCTCCACTTACATCAAAGCCAAGAACAAGTCACATTGAAGAAAATGTGTAAAAAAATGAGTGAAATCCTTGCATCAGACAGATGTGTTTCTCCAACACTTGAGGAGTTTTTGGGAATACCAAAAAGTACTGTGCATCAAATTTTGACCAAGGACTTGCGCAAATGGAAGGTCTGTGCACGGTTTGTACCGCATGCACCGTCAGACGATGAAAAACAAGGCAAAGACATGTTACGGTCAGCCCAAAGTGACACAAAATTTACAAAATCGATTGTTAACTGGTGATGAGACATGGTGTTTTCAATATGAGCCTCTCACAAAGTGGCAGAGTGCAGTGTGGCTGAGCCCAAAGAAGCCGAAAACAAAGAAAGTGCGCATGCAAAAGAGTTGAGTAAAGACACTGCTAACTGTTTTCTTCAATTCCAAAGGAATTTCTGCCAGAAGGTCAAACAGTAAATTCTGGTTATTATCTCAGAGTCCTCAATCATTTGTGGGCGAAAATTATTCGAATTTGACCTGAATATCGAGAGCAAGGTACCTGGTTGCTCCTCCACGACAATGGCCCCACCCCACAAATCAAAGATTGTGCATGATTTTTTTGGTCAGAAAAGGGATCACAGTCCTTGATCATCCTCCATATTTGGCAGATCTGGCTCCAGCAGATTTCTGGTTGTTCCCAAAAGTTAAGTTGACGATGAAATGAGACCGTCACAACACCATCCAGGACATCCAAAGAGAATGTCCCACAGTTTTAAATGCAATTCCACAAAGGGAGTACAGTGTCTGTTTTCAAAAACTTTTCAATCGATTCCAGCTATGTACTGATTGAGAAGGAGACTATTTTGAATAAAAGAGTGAAATTTTGAAAATAATTCATGTCTTGTATTTTTAATGAACACAGTCCTAACAGAAACTGGACACACTATGTACATGTATCATTCACCAAACTTCCTCTAATGTAGTTACCACACAGGCTTTATATACTACTCAAAGGGCTAGGGTGGAGAACAGTTAGCTACCAGAACACTATGCGCATGCACCGCTGTGTTCTACAGTCCAAGAACAAAACCTGCATCACATAGTAATTCTGGCAACAATTCTGATTAAAGGTGCTATGGGTTAATGTTTTGTTGGGTGGACTGTGATACTGTGATTATATTCTAGTATTAAATGGAACTCATGAGACATTGGTCAGTGTTCAGCCCTTCTTGTAGAAGGGTTCCCCCTTCCATCCCCTGTGCATTATCACTCACTGTACTTTTGACCCATGGTATGATGACATTAAATAAAAAAAATACAGATACCCTCAGCATCCTCTCCCCCTGACAAATGGTTGGTAAATGATGTGATTGCAAATAAGAAACCTTACAGGCACGTTTATGCAATATTTCTAAAAATGTCCTCATTCATAAAAAATAATTCAAACATTCAAAGGTTACGTTCTTGCTTCTTTTTAAAAATAAACTTCTGAACTTACATGCTGAGGAATACAAAACATGACAGGACTCTTTCTCTTGAACAATGCAAAACTAGGGGTATGTTTTGGGTTACTTATGAACAAACTTGGATTTGGAAAAATATGTACAAACACAGAAGCACTCTTTCAATGACCTCTTTCATAAAGTTATGTCAAACCATCATGTGAGCAACAAAGCCACAAATAACTGGCAACAGGATTGTATATAGTTAGTGGCTCATAACTTTAGCCGCACGGAAAGGTTAATGCTGTTGTTGAGCATGCGAAGCTGTACGCTTGCTGTGGTGACGTTCAGAGATACTCCCCGAGCAGAAAACATTGCCCATGGAGACCAGGAGTAGATACTAATGAGCAACACAACGTACTATACACCTGACCACACTCCAAGATGCTACATTCCAAACTGGTAGTACCCACGCTGATGTAAGCTGATAAGACTTCACCCCCCAGCTCCACGAGGGATGGTATGACCCCTCTACCACGGTTAAGAGTGCCGAGGAACTAACAGTATGTGTTGTATTTCTACTATTATTACACCCAACAACATATTTTTATTTATAATGCATTAGTATTTCACAACTGGTAACGAAGTCATTCGTAATAATAATCACTCGTTGGTCAGTCTCGGACTATCGTCAATTATTTCCGTGCACAAATTCAGGAGTATCATAATTTGCAAACCATTTTTAAACATGCGATTATTTGGTCTTATTTCATGCACCAATATACAACAGTTATTCCCGCTGCGAGTACACAATCACAGCTCAAATGTCATCAACGTCTACAGAAAATCTGTCGTGAAGACGGTCATTAGGGTGGCGCTTCTACGTTGATGGTTTTGCCCGGCAATCGATTCCTAAGCCTGAACGCAATTTCATCCAATTTGTTTACAAGCATGCGGCTTAACATTGGTAATGTCACATGCAGTGGGAGTTACACTCGAAATAAATTCCTAGAGAATGCTCACTAGGGCATTACTCTCCCTGACATGTTCTTTTATTAGTACACTCAAGTGCCAAAAGTCATGGGATAGCAGTATGTAAATTTATTTTTAAGTGGCGCCATCCCTTGACGGCTTTGGAATGCCCAGAGCAGTATCAGTTGTGAGGTGTTCTCTCGTGAGTCAGGTTGAACACCGGCCAGTCTGCTCATGGCAAGCCAACATGAATTATCAGAGTCTGAACAGGGCATGATAGTGGGTGCCAGGCGGATGGGACATTCCATTTCCGAAGTTGTGTGGTCATTCAACATTCCTCGATCCACGGTGTCACGTGTGTACCGGGAATACCTTGTGGAAGGCATTTCCACCCACCGTGGACAGTGCAGTGGCCAACCACAGGTGCTTAATGATCGTGACCAGTGGCGTCTAGCTAGAATTGTCCGTGGTAACAGACAAGTGACACTGGCTGATATCACATACACATTCAGTGCAGGAGGTACCAGACGCATATCCAGTAGGTCAGTGCAGTGTTCTTTAGCTTCCATGGGATATGGGAGCAGAAGACCGACTAGAGTGCCTCTGTTAACACCATGACACCAGACACAGCACCTCACCTGGCCTTGTGACGTCGCTAATTGGACCCTGGAGGATTGGCAACATGTGGCGTGGTCCGATGAGTCATGGTACCAGTTGTTTTGAGTGGATGGTAGGGTTCGGGAGTGGTGCAGACCCCACGAGGCCATGGACCCCAGTTGTCAACAAGTCACCGTGCAGGTTGGTGGTGGTTCCATACTGGTGTGGGGTGTGTTCACGTGGCATGAGTTGGGTCCACTCGTCCATCTAAACACGTCACTGACTGGTGACCGCTACATTACACTGCTTGGTGACCATTTGCAGCCCTTCATGCACTTCATGTACCCCCCAAAACGATGGGATATTCCAGCAGGACAATGCACCGTGTCATCGGGCTGGAGTTGTCCAGAATTGATTCGAGGAGCATTCTGGAGAGTTACAACGAATGGTGTGGTCACGACATTAGCCTGACATGAACCCAATCGAGCATTTATGGGACGTGGTGGAGAGGTCCATTCGCACCCAAAATCCTGCACCTACAAATACCAGGGAGCTGTGGGCAGCTATCCAGGTGGCATGGCTTAACATCTCTTCAGAGGTCTTCCGTCCACTTGTGGAATCGATGCCACGTCGAGTTGCTGCACTTCGCCGGGCTAGAGGGGGTTCTACATGATACTAGGTACCTATCCCATGACTTTTGGCACTTCAGTGTATTTAAGCCTTACATTAAGTATTTCACAAGATGTACTTATAGTCCTTAATATGGACCGATTGTACAAATAAACGGAGATACAAAAAAAACATGCGGTGGGAAGTAACGACATCCACAATTTCTACATATCAAACCTCTCACTAACTTTTGCGAGTTGCTAATAAATGCTGAATAGTTAATTCAGCCTCCACGGGCATTCTAGGAAACGAAATTCATACGTTTGTGTCCGACAGTCTATGCAATAAATTTCAATGTCATAAAAAAAAACTACATCCCTCAGACAGTTCCTTCAGTTTGGAAACGATTAGCACAAGTTGGCAATCCTGTCACAAGTTTGTTGTTCGTAAGCTTCTAGTTGGGCAGTTTGCGACAGTTCTCCCGCTATATATTATAGTCGCACAACTACACAAAAACACGAATATGGAACTGCTATGATGAATTATATTCAACATCACTAACCTGCTTCTCGATCCAGAGCTTCCTTCAGCCTGTCAACGAGAACCGCTTTGTTTCCTTTTGTATCCAAACCTCGAGATGATAATTCAGCACGAAGCTCCACAACTTTCAATTTTGACAGATCCATGCTAGCACTCATTCTTGCTAATTATTTCAAGCAGAATTATGAACTTGTCACCAACGTAGGACACTAAAACACCAAAAACTTCCAAACCCTAACTACTGCTCTTTTTCTTTGACGAAGATGGCGTGCATGGAGTAGATTAAATTTACTTCATAACGTAACATAGGATTGGACGAATGATCGAGCATCACTGCAGACGCTTGTATATTGGCCAATCAAATAATCCTATACAAAACAGTCTCAACAAATATCAGTATTTCCATTGGGTAACGATGAGCGCGTTCTGCTAGAATTAGTTATTACATAATTTTTGTTACCACAGCAACGGGTTTGTTTAAAAATGGACGATAAAGGTATGTTCCATGAACTGCGGATGGTTATATTTGCCTTATATCATCTAGCTATTAACGCTACTGGATATTTGTTCAAACATTTCTTCAAAATTCGAGTATCGATAAATTTGTTACATTATGGGCAAAACATAAAAACTGCTATTGGATATTTGTTCAAGCATTTTTCAAGATTAAATTATGGATACGTTTGTTACGGGCAAAAACATGAAAATTACTATCCTAGGATACTGTTTAGCAGTACTACTGTGCTGGTTGAAGTTGTGGATTGTGACCTGCAAGGTTTTCATTTCTACATTAACTGGATATTATGAGTACATGCTTATGAGTAAAAACTCCATGTTTCATGTGGAGCTGTGCATTCAAAAATTACTTGCTTTTCCCTTTTATATGAGAAGAGAATGTAGAAGGGATAGACAGCCATCACTGTCACACAAATATATGTTTTTATTATTCCACTCACAACATGTTTCAGCCCAGACGGATGATACGTGATATGTGAGAACTATAAAAATTATTTTCATTTTGTGCATCCTGTTGTTATGATATACAATTATGTACAATAAAGAATTGTATAAAAATGATGATAGAATTCTATAAAACTACAATGCTAGAATAAATTAGAAAATATGTTAGTTAAATTATGTCAGTTCCGACTTAATAACACATTCACATTAAAGTTTAAAATTAAAAAAAAAACACAAATTAATTACGTTTGAAAATAAAAATAAAACAATGTAAGGTGTAAATTTCTGAAAAAATATATGGGGATTTTTCAAGGGAAAGAACAAAGGAGCCATTGCAGCAATTTTATAAAATATGGACTCAACGAGACAAGGTGGATGTTTTCATGTGTGGGGGAGATGTGATTAAGGTAGCGTTTCAGATTGTGGTGTGGGCATGATGCACTGTAGTGTCTGGTGAACCTAATGTTCTGTGTAGATGTTTCTTGAAACTTGTACAATAATACTTGTCCATCATATTAAATTTCTCAAGAATAATGCACTATCTGAATCTGTACTGGACAAATTTACTACCTAACAGAGTAAGTGGTGATATGTGAATGTCGCCATATACAGTCTCTCACCAGTACCTAGACATGTAAATATTGTACATGTACACAAATGATTGGCCCTAGCTACATTTCTTTAAGCTATAGAAAGCACCATAATCTATAGCTTTGATTGTGTGTAAAATATTATGATAGGGGAATAGAAGTGTTTCAGAACGATGAGCAGAAGCAGAATATATATATCTAAATTTTCCACAATTGGCAAATAATTCATGTATGTTTCTGTATGTATGGGAAAATATGCATTGGACAAGGGTTTCCTGCATCTTGTATATTTTCAGTATTTTACATTATGATTGGGGGCATGTGGTAGTGTAGTGGGTTGAGGCACTATGCTACAAGCCGGAAGGTCATGGGTTCAAGTCCCGATGAGGTCATTGGACTTTTTTCAGTTGACCTAATCCTTCCAGCTGCACTGTGGCCCTGGGGTGACTCAGCCTCTAACAGAAATGAGTACCAGGAATATTCTTGGAATATTCTTGGGGGTAAGGGGCAGCCGGTGCATAGGGCTGACAATCTTCCTGCCATCTATGAGCTGATTGTTTAGAAAACGTGGGAAACTCAACATCTCACAACCCTATGGGCTTCCACGGCCTGTTACAGGGATACCTTGACTTTACTTTTTACTTGTTACGTTACGGTTGCATTGTAAGTATGTGAAATTACAACCTCTGTGTGTGTGTGTGTGTGTGTGTGCACGCGCACACAAGCGCAAGCATGGCATATAAAGCTAAGGGTCTTCCATTTTCATATTTCTGTTCCTTCTTCTTTTGTCCCTTTTATCTATTGTGCATATTTATGTACAGAATTTTATTATTTTGTTTATTTTGTGCATTCATATTTTAATTGCATATTTTAAGAACAGTCCATGCCCCAAATATCATATAAGTAAGTTCATTAGTGGGTGTAGGCACTTTGTGCATATGAGATTTCCGTGAACTTTAGTGTGTATTACAAAACACAATCATGAATGATATACAGTCATTAGAGAAAAACTATATATTTGGAATATTATCACTGAAAATGAAGATTACCAAAACAAATGGCCACACCACATAAAGAAAATTAACACGATGGAGTATAACGTTTATCTTCTTTTGGAGAAGTTTGTCTATAGCCATACTTATGGCCTTCACATGACTTTGTTTTAGTTCACTGGTCACTGAACACCATGGCAACTCTTCTTGCACTCGTCTTGTTGTTGTTGTTGGCTCGGGATTTCCTACATACTTTTCATCACACTGTTTGAACCACACACAAATACTACATATTGCTTTTAAATGCAGACTGGCTGAATTCACTAATTCCACACAGTTTTATTCTGGCATAGTATATTCCCAAACCGTTGTGCAGGATTTCAACCTGATTTGGTCTCCACAGCCTGCTGGTGCCAAATAGGTATCAGGTTCCTCCAGAATATTAGTAACCACCTGTAGAACTATATCGTAACTCACAAAATCACAATGTACATTTTCACAGCCATGGACACCTCAAATTTTTCATACTGAAGATGTCCATTAACCATGTCCATTAATTTAAAGACACCCTTCCCCTTCTAATGTAGTAAAATGTAATAAATATCATGCAGGACTTATATATCCAGAAAACATTGGACTTTAAAGTAGTATTTGAAATGGTATGCACAAAAGATTAATTTTCATTTTATACATAACTGAACTTGTATCTTTCTCAAGTTGGTATTTTATACAGGAACTTTAAGTGACCTGGACAAAAGAATTATAGAAGCTTTTGTGGTATTTGATCATGCAAGCAGCAATACAGTTGACGTTCGAGAAGTTGGTACAATTATACGTTCTCTTGGTGAGTATATTTTTTACTTAAGAGCCTTATAATTGCAATGTACCAGTATAATGAAAAGTAAAGGCTTGAAATACACCATATATATCTGTAGGAGTAAATTCTTGATGACTATAGAAATTATTTATATCATTTCCTTGGTTGGTCAGTGACGCTGTTCAGTGAGACTTGCAGAAGGGCTAAATAAGTGCAGCATTTATTATTGTCTCCAAGTTTGTTTGTCTCATTACCACGGCACAGTCCCCAGGTTGCAGATTGAGATAAATTTCACATATAGAAGAGAGCTGCAAATATTGGATTTCTGAAGTCAAGAATAATGTGTGGTTCCTTATCTTAGAGGCTAAATATGGAGTAAACAGACCCAGGTATAGGTAGGAGGTCAGTATTAGAATGAATCTGAAAGAAATATGATATGAGTACGTGGACTGAATTCTTTCTTAGGATGGGGACTAATGGCAGTCTTTGTGAACAAGGAATGGGCCTTCATGTTTTCTAAGACTGGGAACTTCTTGACCAGGTGACCAACTATTAGCTTCTCAAGGATTATGCCCCATGTAGCTTCTTATGAGAAAGCATGGTAGAAAGCAATAGCTGCATGTAAGGTAAGGTGAAGCTGTCCCTGTACTTATTTAATTAAGCAACATGCCATGAAGACGTGGAGTGGCATTGTACTGTAGCTCCACCAATCTTTGCTTTGGCATTAGTGAGGATGAGAGGCTATTTTACTCCTGGGGAAAGAGCCCAGGCTCCCAAGTTCATAATCTAAGAAAGTTGAACGTTGATACAGCAATCTGGAAGAATGAAATCAAACAAATATAAAGAGTACCCACAGCGTGGTGTACTTTAATCTGTTGTATGATTATACCTAAGTTCTGTTCTAATTTACAAGGGCCATTCGGAAAATAACCTCAGGAGAGCTGTTAACAAAACAAGCAATGAGAAAAAAGTACTATATACAAAAAATATATAAACAAGCCAAATTGCAGTGGTTACAGGATCCAAGTGAATTAAATGGGGATAATCTGAACAATATAAGACACAAAACCAGCAGGCATTTCACGAATAGAAAATGGGAATATCTGAAAGACAGAATTAATGAGCTTGTTATTAACAGTAAGAACAAGAACATTAGAGACCTATATAGGGGAATAAATGACTTTAAGAGGCATTACCAACCTATAAGCAACTTAGTTAAGGATGAGAATTGTGATCTGCTTGCAGATCCCCACAACATTTTGATAGATGGAAGCACTACTTCTCACAGTTATTGAATGCACATAGTCAGGGATGTTAAACAGACAGAAATACATACAGCTGAGCTGTTAGTACCTGAGCCTAGCCCTTTTGAGGTTGGAATTGCTATTGCAAAGTTGAAAAAGTAAAATTGCCGGGTAGTGAACAAATTCTGGCAGAACTAATTCAAGGAGGTGAAACGTTATTGTCTGAGATCCATAAGCTAAATAATTCTCTTTTACATAAGGAAGTATTTCCTGATCAGTGGAAGGAATCTATTATTGTACCAATTCAGAAGAAGGGTGATAAAACTGACTGTAGTAATTATCGTGGGATATCACTGCTATTGGCTTCATACAGTATTTTATCCAATATCCTTCTCTCAAAGATAAGTCCATATATAGATAAAATTATTGATCAGATCTTTTACATTTGCCAGATACTGGAGAAAAAATGGGAATACAATGAGACAGTATATCAGCTATTTGTAGACTTTAAGAAAGCCTATGATTCAGTTAGGAAGGAAGTATTGTGCAATATTCTCACAGATTTTGGGGCACCCATGAAACTAGTTTGGCTAATTAAAATGTGTAGCAATGTCTGCATAAGTAAACATTTGTCTGACAATTTTCCTACCCATAATGGTCTAAAACAAGGAGATGCTTTATCGCCACTGCTTTCCAACTTTGCTTTAGAAAATGCCATTAGGAAGGTCCAGAAAAACCAGGTGGGACTGAAATTAAATGGGACACTCCAGCTGTTGGTCTATGCTGATGATGTGAATCTACTGGGTGATACCATAGATATCTTCAAGAGAAACACACAAACTTTGACACTAGTAAGAAGGCTGGTCTAGATGTAAACATAGATAGAACTAAGTATATGTTTCTGTCTCATCACTGTAATAAAGGGCAAAATGGTGACATGAAAATAGCTAACAGATGTTTTGAAAATGTAGCACATTTCATATGTTTGGGAATCACTATAACAAATCAAAACCTGATTCAGGAGTAAATTAAGAGGAGACTGAATTCAGGTAATGCTTGCTACCATTCAGTCCTGAACCTTTTGCCTTACCGTCTACAGCCTAAGAACATAAAAATTAGGATATACAGAACTATAATTTTACCTGCGGTTCCATATGGGTGTGAAACTCGGTCTCTGACATTAAGGGAGGAACAAAGTCTGAGGGTGCTGAGAATATTTGGACTGAAGAGAGATAAAGTGACAGGAGGTTGGAGAAAACTGTATAATGAGAAGCTTCGTAATTTGTACTCTTCACCAAGTATAATTAGAAAGATGAAGTCAAGAAGATAAGATGAGCAGGGCATGTAGCATGAATGGGGGAGAAGATAAAGGCATACAGGATATTAATGGGAAAGCCAGAAAGAAAGAGACCACTAGGAAGACCAAGACATAGGTTGGTGGGTATTAAAATGGATCTTAGAGAGACAGGGTGCGATGGTATGGAATGGATTGATCTGGCTCAGGATAGGGACAAATGGAGGGCTTTTGTGAACATGATAATGAACCACTGACTTCCATAAAATGCTGGGAAGTTCTTGAGTGGCTGCACAATTGGCAGCTTCTCATGATAGGCTCATCTCTGTGAGTGAGTGTCAAAGAAATCTGCTGTCCATGAGCTCAGCCATGTTCTGACACCTTCCATCAACTCCTCATTATTGCTGAAGTGCTGTGATCCCAACCAGTTCTTTAGGTAAGTAAACAGGTGGTAGTCACTCAGAGTGAGATCAGGGCTGTCAGGAGGGTGGTCAAACAACTCAGAGTTGATTTACTCAAGCAATGCTTGAGTGTGAGCAGCTGTATGCAGATGTGCATTGTCATGGACAAGCACTACACCAAATGCCAGCATTCTATACATTTTGTTCCGATTAGCCCTATGCAATTTATTTTAGTGTTTCGCTATACACTTCTGATGTTACTGTGGTCCATTTCTGCATGAACTTCATTCAACATCAGCACTCCTTTTCTCTCCCAGAATGCAGTTGCCATCAGCTTTCTGGCAGACATTTGTATTGTATTCTATTGTATTTATTAGCATTCATCGATCCATACCCCAAGATCAAATTTATTGTTCCTATCAAGATACTCTTCAACCGAATAAAGAGTTTTTTATAAGAAACTTTCTCAATTTATGTTTAAATGTATTAATATCATGTGCATCTTGTTTAAACTGTTTGGCTTGTTTGGTGAATGTGCATGCATACAGTGCTTTGGAGCCATGTTTACTTCATATGGCTCATGAAGGAGTCATGTCATACATACAAATTCTAAACCGTGATTCTTTTCTAGATTTCTATAATTTTATATTTACCACAGCATACCAAAACAAGATACATTTCCCACAGAATATGTAGATGTTTATAATATATCACCATATAAATTTCACGTACTAAGTTGTAATGAGGGACTACTTTCAAAAGAAAAAAGAAATGTTTCACTGTCACCATGTCCATTTTAACTCCAAGACCCTATATTGAATGACTAAGTCTGTACAGCCATATACTGATAATGTTCATTTCGAAGTTAGAAAGACCAAGATACTTCATGCCTTCCATGGCATGTCATTCATACTAAGCTTCACAGCCAATATGTATATACATAAAAAATTAATGAGCACTCTTCGCTTTGTTGTGAAACTATGTTCAACACTGAATACAACAATTATTTTCATGGAATAAATTTATAACTAGTTCAAGTGCAACAGAAGTTCAAATTTCTGCAGTGGACTGCCACACAAAAAATGTGCACATATGCAAGACAAGTTTTCCTTACATAATAATATATGATGAAGGGATTCAAGGGATTCTTACATTTGTTTAGAAGTTTGTTAACGAGCTTATTCCTTTTTAGAGTGAGAAGTTATCACCACACCAAGTTCTCAAATTGACAATCATCTCTTGTCATTTTGTGAAAATACTTATTCAGCAGATTTAAAACTGCCCCTCCATTAACATTTTTTTTTTTTATATTCACTTAGTGGGGGGTGGAGTCCAACTGGGTCCACTTGGCACTGCGGCCACTGATTGGCCTATTGTAGCCTGCCCCGGGTGATTATGATGATGGAGAATTTGGCAAGGCACAACAGATCACTGTGGTTGTGGTGCAAGGGCCAAGAAGGCCCACCCCTTATACATTCATTCATGAAGATGGAGAATTTGGTGGAATGAAGATTGGCAGGGGAAACCAAAATACTCAGAGAAAACCTGCCCCAGCGCCACTTTGTCCACCACAAATCCCACTTGACCAGATCTGGGGCCCTCCCATTATGTGCAGACCATCTCTTCCATTCACAACCTGAAAGCAAACTTTATCATTTTGGTGGCTTTTCAAGTACTGCTACAAGTTTATCATATTTGTCTTAGGGTGTTGTCCCAGTGAGGCTGAAATTCAAGAGATCCTAGTTGCAGTAGAAGATGAGGAAACATCTGGAAGTGTTAGATTGGACCGATTTTTATTGATAGTATCACATATTATTCAGGAGAGAAGGTTTGTATGTAATCAAGCATTTGTCAATCCCACAGTACTGGAGGATTTAAAATGATGGTTATCTTGAGGATAGATGAGATGTCTAGAAGTAACAGTTGCAACTGCAGCCTACTTTCAAAGAGACTGGATATCATCCACCATTTTTTATTGGTGCTGTACCAAACAGGCAGGCATCTTATATTCTTGAAACACTGAGCACTTTTTTATTTCCCAATAACAAATGACCTTCTCTTTTCTGTTTCATCAGAATTAGAACACACAAAAACAGTAATTTAGTCTTTAGATAGCTTCTCACCAGCACAGACAGATTTCTCCACTTTAAATTTCAATGTTTTGTCTGGAGTTGACATGAAGAACATATGAGTGTTAAAAATGTCTCTGTCACTGAAGCTTTCATTCACTTTGGGCCAAATATTATTAAGTCATTCCGCTGGTGTTTCACTGTTCACAGCCCTTGCTTCACCAGTTGCTTTCCCATAGGAAATGTTGCAATGCACTAAAATCTTTTGATCCAACCAGCAGTGCTTACAAGTTTAGCAAGTTATTCATCCTTTGCTATAAGAAGAGGACTGCTCACTGGTACATGTTCATTTCATTTTGTTTAAACCCTTTTATTAGCACTTGTCAACATTATTCCATTCTGGCTTCCATTAATTGTTTGTGATCCATTTTTTCAAAAGCATTAACAATTTGATTCTTTTTTTTCACATGGTTTGTACTGTGGAAGTAAATAAACCAGAATCGTGGAACATATCACATTTCTTCTTTCCATTTTCAATGTCCTTTATCACATTAACTTTAACCTCCATACTTAACACTTTCATTCTCTTTGCAGATTCTATCTCTTCCTGAAATTTGTTCGTTACTGAACCTACTTTCCCCATGCATTTCTATGGGTATTGAGAATTTAAAAGGGTACTCAATGTCACTCAGTATTTCTGACACATATGGAAAGAGAAAATCCCTTTAAATTGTCACTGTCCATGCAAAGAACGAATGTGAGAACATGATTTCACATGAAATTATGAATGAACTGGTTATTCCATGTGCATCTAAGAGGCAGAAAAGCATGTGCTTTATGGAGATTTAATGAGTACCACAAATATTAGACAATATAGCTAAGATGTCACTACAACCAAAGTGTGATTGTACCATTAATAAAAGCACAGAAATAAAACAAACTTATTTTAAGATTTGTATGTCTCTAGTGTTGGGACGGTTATTCTCCTTGAGCTGAGACTACCTCTAATTGGTCAATTAAACAAAGCAGGTTAGCTTTAATTGTTTCTTGCATCCTGCTGTGTATTTAATCAATATTAGGGTTAATTTCACTGACCACACAACACGTTTTTATTATTGTCACACTACATGTTTCAACCTCAAGAGGTCATCCTCAGGTGTACGAACACAGTTGCACAATCACACGCAATCACATTCGTTTTCCACTTATTTTGATCCTGTATCCTGTTCAGGCCTACAGTCAATAATATATGTCAAGTTCTTCTTATAAAATACAAATAAAATACTATTCAAATGTTAAAAGTTAAAATTTAAAAACTAAAAAAAAAAAAAAAAGATTCGTAAATTCATGAAAAATGTAAAATCCAGGATCATAAAATCAAGGTTTCACTGTACATTGAATGTTTTCAGTATAGACCACCTAACACACCAGAAAATGGGCTAAAAATTGGATTAAGTTATCTGTTTTGTTAGAATGAATTGACACCTTTACTCCTAGATAAGAAAATACTGCATTCGTGGATGGCTTTAAGACTGAATCTTGTCCTCCACAGTGGGAAGCTGGAAAGTAACTGCCTAAGCTATGGCATGGCCCAAGTCAGAGTCTGGTACAAGTATATTTGTTCACTGAACTTGATAACTTATTCAACAGATTACATAAATATTATTAAAGAATGACTGCAACACCAATACCTACTCTGTCACAGGGCCTAAATTAATAGGATGGAACTTGGACATATCAATAAGTAATGAATCATTTGCCAGTCATGGTAGCCGAGCGGTCCAAGACATGTACTGTCTCCGCTCGCCTGGAAACCAGGATCGTGAGTTCGAATCCCACTCAGGGCATGGATGTTTAGTTTGTGTGTGTGCGTTTATCTGTGTTTGTATACAGGTAGAGGCCTTGCGACAAGCTGATCACACGCCCAAGGAGTCCTACCGAATGTGTAAGATCTAGAAAAACTGAAGTGAACGGAGAAGTTCATGGAGGTAGGCCTAGGTCCACTGCGGCTGTAGTGCCAAGAAAAAAAAATCATTTAGCTCCAGTAGATATGGTACAACTCAGAGGCAACAATCTCCTGTAACAAAATATTAACTTACAATCCCTTCACTTTACATATTGCAACATCCAGCACATTATGCTTATCATGGGGGACCTTTAAAACATACGTATGACATAGTTCTACCACATGCTTTTTTCTTTTTAAGACTACAACCTGCATCACCAGAAAAGCTCCTGAAAGCATTTTTAACACTTGACCGAGATGGAAAAGGATATCTGACCAAAGAGTTTCTCAGCAAAATTATGATGGAGGAAGGAGAGCCATTTACTCATGAAGAATTGGATGAGATGATGGGTGCTGCAATTGATGGAGAGACGGGAAACATTCCATATGAGTACTACATCAATCAACTCATGGTAAGAAGTGAGCTGTAATCTGAATCACACACTGTTCCCTCATAAGCATTTTTATACCACCCATAGCAGCACTTTACAAAAAGAAATTATATTGACTTTAAATATAGATATTTAATAATGGTTATTGTTTTCACTTGCTTTATGATATAAAAATGATAAAAAAATTATGTATCTATACATACTAGACCATCGGACATGAAACAGCACACTCTATATGTACAAGTGAGAGTCAGTAATAGGGCATAGATGGAAATAAAACAGCTGTAATGGATGCAATACAGTTTATATTTCTATCACTAGGTAGCAGCACAGTCTAGCTTCATAACAGTTTAGGTAGCAAATGTGCATGTGCATATTCAGAGGCTGGTTTCAGTAGTCAAAATGGTATCTGTGCTTAAAGAGTGTACTAACAAAGAGCAGCGTTCTGTTATGCATTTTTTTTATGAGCAAAAGGACTCAATGCAAATGATATTCATAATGAAATGTTTCCTGTTTATGGTGGAAAGTGGTTTGCAACTGGTTGGAAAACATCTTGCTAATGATGAACAAGCTGAAATGGAGGTGCAGAAGTGGCTGAGAAACAGTCAAGACTTCTATGATGTGGGTTTTGATGCACTGGTAAAGCAATGGGACAAGTGTACTAAGGTTGGTGGAGGACACGTCAAGAAATAAATGTCTTTTCCAGATTCGAATATCACACGTTTTACATCTTATATCCATTTATGACTTACTTACTGACACTCCCTTGTACTAAAAAATAAAATTTTATACTACAAAATTTAGCCAAAAGCAGCATGAAATAGCTATGTTTTACATNGATATACTTACACACGTGACCAACGAGATTCGAACTCGAAACACGTTACACTGGTGTCAGAAGTGTTACGAACACGCCAAAAATTGAATTATTGTGTATCGAGTATTCTACTGCGACAAGATGGAGATGCAGCAGATGATGGAAATGCTGGCTAGGATGGACGCCAGCATGAAAGCGGAGAGGAAAGAAAGAAAGGCGGAGAAGGAAGAAATGCTGAAAGAGATGAGGGCCTGGCGAGAAAAAGCAGACGCCGACTCAAAAGCCTGGCGAGAAATGTTTGATGCAGAAACAAGGGCTATCCAAGCGGAGATGAAAGCTATCCAAGCAAGGACGGCCTGCCAACAGATAGAGGCACGTCTACAAGAAGGAAAGCCGGCCTCAGTGGACACGAAACCTGTGGTGGCACAACAAGAGGAGGTCCCCATAGTGATAC